GTCCCATAATGCACTGGTAGCCTTGCCGACTCTCCCAGAATGCACTGCTCCCAGGAGCTGAGCTCGGAAGGGTGCGCTAGGTACCCCGCGGGCAGTGCAGTTGGACCGGTTCAGGACAGTTGGTGTGGACGTGGGGTCACATGGAAATGATTCACTCGGGCTCGTGGGGGTGGCACAAAAGTGACTGAGCTTTAACCGGCCCTGTTACAGCTGAGTCAGTTCGCCAGGCTGCCCCCATCCAGCCCCAGCTTGGCGCAGCCGAGTTCAGTGCAAAGACCTTGCAGCTGGGCGGGAGGCGCTTTGAGATGTTTGTTCCCTGGCTGGGGCTCCCGCTACACCCCCCCTGCACTCCCACATACCCGCTTTTGTTGGGCAGCAGTGCTCTCTCCCCCCCACCCACCCCCCGCTGAGTACGCCAAGAGCCGGGGTTATGCACTGAGGACATGGCGGGCTCAGAACTGGGGCGCCAGCAGCCCCACGCCAAGGGCGCTATTTGGTAAGTGCTTCCCCAGCCGAGCACTTTGCAACCAAAGCCTCGTGTCGCCCGCCCCGGTCCCTAGCAGAGCCGGGGGGTCTGCCGGCTCGCCGGGCACTCTGACCCCAAGGGGACTGTCCCGTGCGCGCTCGCCAAACCCAGCCCATCCTTAGCTAGTGGTGGGGAGCTCTGCCCCGCTGAACCCGGGGTGGGGGGCCGATTCCAGCAGGGCCGAGCCCCCATATCCCCATCCAAAGGCAGCAGCACAGCACTTGTGCCCGTGCTGGGTAGCCATGTTCTGTGGGTACAGCAGAGTACGCCGTATGGGGCCCTGCAGACCTGCCAGTACAGCCCCACAGGCTCCCTTGTGAAGGCGGGGACAGAGAAATGGCTGGTTTGTCCACCCCGGTGAAGCAGCGCCGTCGTGGAGCCGGGAGCTGCTCAGCAAGGGGCCGTGCTGCCCCCGTTAAGCCGCAGCTTGTCTCAGCATTGCAGCCTGCAGGGCTGAGGCGGCTGGGGGTCCCTGGCCCATCTGCTTGGAGACCCAGAGGGAGAGGCGGGGCTGAGGGAGGGGGGCTCCCTGCCCAGCCAGGCAGCCCCGTGTCTTATCGCTTCCCGTTTAACTTGTTAAGGAGTCCGGCTCCTCTCCCACCCCACCCCATATCAGCTGAGAAGCTGCATGTGCCTTTTCCGAGTTAACCAGCGTTCCTGCGCCGGTTCTGGCTTTGCTGCAGTGGGGCAGGGGGACGGGGTAGGAAGAGGCTGCTCGACATGGGGGGAGGAATATAAATGCAAGAGCACTCGGCAAAGGGCTGGGGGCTAGCGTAAAAAATACATCCCTAGTTTGCCATCCCGGCCCCACCGCCCCCAACGCAGAGTTTGAGTGGAGGAAGACTAGCCCAGTGGTTAGGGCTCTGGTTCAAGCCCCTACGCTGCCCCACATGTCCTGTGTGACCTTGGGCAAATCACGTCCCTGCTCCGTGCCTCGGTTTCCCCATCTGTATAGTATGGATAACAGCACTGCCCTGCCTCCCAGGGGCGCGGTGAGGGTAAATGTGAGACGCTCAGAGCATGAAGGCTGTATACGCATCTCAGGCAGACAGATGCCTAAGTAATCAGCTCGAGTCAACGATATTCAATTGGCCTGACAAACTCTACAGGCCTTGGTCTCCTACCAGAGTGATGGGCACGCTACCACTACCTAGGCTGGACAGACAGACGCCTAGCAGTGGCGCAGGGCAGAACAATAGTTTCAGGGGGGGAAATGGGAAACCCATTCCCTAAATGGAGATGAGACACCCCCAAAATAGAACAGAGACCCCTGAATAACTAACTCCCCACCCCGGTCCCAGCCGCATTGATACTCTGCTGTCCCTTTAATGACTGTGGTCCTGATTCTGATCTTATTGGCACTGGTGTAAATCAGAACTAACAGCCGCAAAGCCAGCTGGGACACGCGAGAGGAGACACAGGCCTTGGTGGGCAAGTGCTCTACGCAGCTGGGAACCTTGGGCCTAATTTTTCCAGCCATGCCGGCCTCCCATTGGTTTCCTATGACATTGCAGCTGGTCAATACCCCAGTCTCTCCCCACCTGTGTCTTTTAAAGATGGTGGGTAGCCGTCCCTGCCTCTTCTAGCCAATAGGATCAAAGAATCCACCTGTTTTAGTTTTCTATTGGATGGACTGCTCCAAGCTCCACCCTAGTAGGCGGAGCTTTTGCTAAGCAGCCTGTATAAAAGGAGAGAGGTTAAAACACCCCCCTCTCCCTAAGAGTCCTGCCTGTCGGTGCTGATGAGCAGATTGTCTCTTGAAAGTGCCTTGACCCCCAAACTGTGGGAGAAATGCAGGTGGTCCAGCAGAGCAGACAGCCCTGGGTGGCAGCTGCAGGTAAGCGAGAGGCTGGGCTGGAAAAGCAGGTGAAATGTCCTGTGTGAGGAGTTACAAGGAGAGTAACTCCTGCAGTGGAGTGAGGCTTGAGGGCTGCAGGCTTTGTAGTTTCTGTTGGCTGAGCTGGTTGAACACGTCTGGGCTCCTTGCACCCCTCTGTTCCTCAAATGAGCTCCCTGGGTACCACCCTCCTGGCTCCCTCTATTGCAGGGGCTCCCTGCAGCTCCCCCAGTCCCCCCCCATTTCTCCCTCTTCGGGGGTTCTGTGTGCTGTGCCCCCCCATTCATGGGTCCCCCCTGGCTGGGGCTTTGCTGCACCCCCATGCCTTGTTAGCCTGGTCACATGCCCCGCTACCCCCCCCACACCAGAGGGTCTATGTGACCCCCCACCATAGCCCCCCTTCCTCTGTGATACCAGGGGCTCTGTGCACCTCCTTCACCCTGCCAGAGGTTTTGAGTCCCCTCCATTCCCCCTTTCCCCCCCATAGTAGGGTCCCCTTTTGCCACCCCCACCCCAGTGCCTGTGGTTCTCCCCCCTCCCCCCATGGTTATTTTTGCCTGGGAAATAAGTCATTCAGGATGTCCACTCTTGAGAGCCTGAGCAGGGCTATTGTTATGCGTTCGTGGGGCCGTCAAGTGGTTTTTGGCTCTATAAACTGTTGCAGAGGCGCATGAAGCAC